CCCACCCCCACCCCAAACCAAAGCCCTGAAACCCAAAATCCCAAAAACAAAACAAAAAATACTCAACAAGCAAAAACCACACCCAAATCCCCTTACACATGGCCACGTCCTCAGTAGGTAAAAATTTACATAGTAAATGTAAAATCGAGTTCAATGAAGCTTTGAAAATTTGTGGAAGTTCAGAACTGGGCCCAGAAAATTGCAGTCTCTGTAATGGGCTTATATGTACATCATATTATCTCTGTTATTATCCCCACTTTGTTTATTTTCTTGGTAATTCTGATATGCCTTTGTATATTAATGAAGAAGATTATTATGAGCTTCATCTTTCAGGAAGATTGTTTTGTATGTAATCAAGAAAAAAAAAAAGCTGCATAAATATGCTTCCTAATGAAATGGTAGGCAAGATCATACTGGAGTTCATAATCAACAATGATGCTAAAAAGATTCTATTATTACCTTTTTGGGGGGGATTCACTGCAACTTTATCCTTAAATGTGTAAAAGCTATGAAATTAGTAATGATAAGATTTGAATAGGAAAAATGAACCATATCTAGTTGAACCACAAAATATCTGGAGTGTTGCAAGGCTGGCATTATCGAAAGAAAAACAAATTTATTTTTTTTTAAAGTCGTTTTAATCACATCAGTCATGTTGTAGCAAGGAATGCAAATATTCATATACTACAGATTGAGGCTGCTCTGAAATGTTCTGACAATCTGTTAGGTTTTGAGTGATGTTTCAACCCTATCACTTGGGTGGTGGTTTTTTTTTGTTGTTTTTTTTTCTTCTTTTTTTTTTTTTTTTTTTTTTTTGACTATAAAAAACACTACTCATCTCTGTCACATGCTGCACAGGATAAAAAGCCTTTCAGTTTTCTTAACAAGAATCAGACGGCCAGGGTGCTGCTGGAACGCAGAGAATATGCCACTGTCTGTTCAAAGTACAGCTTAATGAGCCAGACTAAACACACTGGACAATAGAGCTGTGGGGGGAAAGGGCTTCTCGTGGATCTGTGGATCAGCTGCGGCTTTAACATCTAACTAGTTTCATTTTTCATCTTTGCAAGTTCCATTTCCCTGTTTTGTTGGTATAAACTGCATTTCAATGAGCGGACTTTCCTGCCTAGGTGATGGTATGGTGTGCTTTGAAAAAGGATGTTGTGGATTACGCTAGGATTAATTTCTGTGTTTCTTTTTCTCTTTCATAGTCACGACCTATTCCCTCACACCTTACTTCAGCAGTTGCAGAGAGTATCCTGGCTTCCGCCTGTGAGAGTGAAAGCAGAAATGCTGCAAAAAGGATGCGGTTGGATAGACAGCAGGTACTGTGTTGTTTGGGGGTCTACCACATCCATATTTATAAATGCACTGGACTCATTTACATAGGATGCCATGCAGAAGGGTGGTGCAGCCCCTTATATGCTTCTTGCTAGCAAGATTAATTAAAATACAAAAGCTGTAGTTTTTTTTAATGAATACACAAGCATGTCTTTGTCTGTATTTACATAAGCTGTGTGAGGTTAATATATTTGTAATGTCCAGCTGGATAAAGCTATTTATTTACTTTTTGATGGCTGTAGATTTTTAGAGCATAATGTATAATCTCTACAGAAGAATTTAAAATAACAGAACATGGAGTGGATATAATGTACATAAACAGGAGTGGATATAATGTACATAAACAGCAGAAATGGTGCATGTGTCCATGAATCAGTGTATTTATTTGTGCACATATTCTCTTTCAAAAAGTGTATGCATTTTAAATAGAAGGTGAAATGTTACTGACTGAAAATACCTATTTGCCTGAAACAGAGAAGTTACTGTGCTGTATAACAAGTCTTTTCTTATGAGGTTATTCACCTTTGTAGTGGTGTTACAATTTTATTACCTTTAATTTTCTAGAAGTTGCATATTTTCTTTTAGTGTTTTTAAAATCCAACTGGTAGTTCATTCTAGGGTTTGATTATTTACTTACTCCATAGATACAGTGAATGTCTAACATTCTTATTACAAAGACTATTATGCTTTATTTCTCTTCACCATTGTAACAAAGTACAAATTTTGGTGATATCTCATGTGTTCCACAATGTGTTTCTGTCATGGCAGATGAACTTTTATTTCATGGAATAGAAGATTTTTTAAAAGAACATTTTCCTTTTATGCATAGTCCATTGAGTTCCTTCAGGTCATGCCCTAACTATATAAAGGATTACTACTGCTATACTTATAAAATTGACAGTTTAGGATCTGAGAGTGTATGTTGCTATTTCTTTTTGCTGTGATATTTTTTGCTAGTATTTTCATTATTGTGCTACATTTGCCTTAAGATTTAACAAATCACGTGGGATACCAAGCACTGGAATATTAAATATAATTTAGATTAGAAACAGTGCTCATTCAGATTGTGCAGGTTTTATATTCTCTCATTTGCTCTCTGATTTTTCAGTAATAGTAAAAGGAAAAGCTACAAAATCAATGTGCCAAGGGGAACTAGAAATGACTTGCACAAACATCAGTTACTTTCATTGTACAAAACTAATAGCTCAATTCCTTGGTCCAGCCAGGGTGAGGCAGAGTTTTCAAGTGATTTAAATGAGAATCCCATAATGCTGTTCAGGGAGCCAGAGACCTGTTGAAACAAAAAAAATCAATATTTAAACTGTAGTCAGAACTCAAAAAAACATATTAATAGGGTTGGGTTTTTTTTTCCTTTTATTTGTAGTATTACTATCACAGAAGGATTTGCGAACATCTTTGGGGGGAGAGGCATTTCTTTACTTTTCATTACAGAATTAAAAATCTGCAGTCAGAATATCTCCCAGCTGATCACCTTAATTGCAACTGTGATCTTAAAGCAGCAAAGCTGCCTATGAACAACAGGTTCTGCTTCCTTCAGCTCTTCCCCCTTTTTCCCAGTGAGTTCTGGGAACACAGTGGAGTTGCAAATAGCACCAGCCATTTGATTCAGCAAGCAGTAAATTAGCTGAGCTGGTGTAGCTTTGCTGCTTGCAAAACTACTTGTGAATTCAGGACAGATATACTGAGTAGATATGCTGAACATGCTGGAAAGAAATATAGCAATGTGTATTAGGTAGCTTCATAAAACTTAGTGAGAAATTTACCCTTCAGGGTGGAATAGATAAATCATTAGAGAAGTAGAAAACCTTGGGTTTAGCCCCAGTTCCATTGAAATTCAATTAGTTATTCCGAGTATGTGAAATTAACTAAGTAGACTGAGAGCAAAGCATTCTGGAATATTTCTGAGTGTGGTAGTTAATGGACAATGGCATGCTCAGTTCCTCTGCTGAGATGGGAATTGGATCTGTATCCTCACATCCAGAGAGTGTGACTAATAGCTAAAAGGGTTCTATTTTGCTTGTCTTCCTATTTTTCCCTCTTAACTTACTATTAAATTTCCTTTATGTTTTTACATATATCTATGTAGGATTCTATATCATATATGTTGTTTTGTCATTCCATAGCTAAAAAAAACACAAAAACAACAGAAAACCAAAAACCCTTGTTTTCCAAAATTTCCAAAAATTGTGTGTTACACTGCTGGGTAGACTCAAGCTTTGAGGATGCCAGTGAAAATTTGTGAGGGAGATAAGGGAAACAAGATAAATAAGATTTTGATGATGAAAATTACCACTTCATAAATTATATCAAGAGATTTTCTAATTGAAGACAAGCATTAGGCAGTCCTGGAAAGTAGATAGTCAAGAGGATCTGGCAAGAACACTCATTCAGCACTTCCCCTCAGAGCTGAGTGGAAGCTCTGCGTTAAGGCTGCTTTATTCTTGCATGCAGTACAGTGAAGTTCTGCCTTTTGTGTTCCAGACAGGTAATCTGCCTCAAAGTGAGATGTAGCACTCAGTGCCATGATCTCATTGATGTGGTGATGTTCTTGTGATAGGTTGGACCCAATGATATCAGAGGGCACTTCCAACTTAATTGATTCTGTTGTTCTGTGATTCTGTGATTTATATCCCTGCCACCTCCTTTTTCAGAATATTACCCGCAAACCGTGAATTAATTAATCGCACAGTGTTATGCCCAATCCTGAAGCTAAGGTAAAGCTTTGCAGCCTCCTGAACTCCTTTTCTTGTCTTGTTTATGCTCTTTTCTTTTCTCCTCCATTCTTTCTTCTCTCCCTGACAAAGCCCAGGTCTTAAGCAGGAAGTTCTGAGTATCCTGCATGCATGTCCCTTATGGAAGTATCTATCTGTTAAAATGACATAGATTTCCAAATGAAATAGGGGATTTTTGCCTACAGTGTTAATTTTAGCAGTGATTTGATGAAAAACCATCTCAATTATTGCTCAGCAAAAAGAAGCAGCTTAAAAGTCAAAACTAGGACACTTTTAACACCTCTTTTTTTTTTTTTTTTTTTTTTTTAAACAGAGTCTTGGCCACACTCATGAGTATTTGTTGTTTCTTTCACAAGTATTAAATGTGAAGGATTGGCTTTATATACCTACTACCCCATGCACCCATTTGTTTTCTCTTTGGAAGAAACCTGTCCTTACATGTTTGTGTCTCTGCATGCACGAATACTTCATCTTATGGATTACTTTCTAGAAGTATTTCTGATGGCTGCAGTGGTTAATATAGTCCTGATGTGGGGACAGTATTAAATGTGATAAAGTTAAGCCTGAATAATGAGGAAACCATCCTTCAACCAGTGTCTTAAATTCCACTTATATGATCTTTGTATTTCCTAACTCAAAGCTGAAAATTTCTGCCAACAAAAATCCAATTTAAAATATAAGTTAATGAAGTCTGGTCTCACTGACTTATTTTCAATATTGGGGTTTTTTTTCATTCCAGGAATTTATTTCTTAATGGGAAAATCAATGTTTTCTTGTCTTTCAGGAAACTAGTAATTTTTCATAGTTGTTGGGTACTGCAACAATAAATGCATTGCCAGTTTTTGAGACTTTTCTTTAGGAAATATGAAAGTATTTACTAGGCTGTGGAAGCTCTGACTGTAATGCTTTGGCTGTCTGACCATGTTAGATGTTACTCAAGTGCTCTCTTAAGCTTCAGTGCATTTTCATTTTCTTGAGATCAAGCACTGGTTGATTGGCCAGAAGCTTTAATGCCAAGAAGTTATATATTTGATACCTATTACCCAACTGAGGAATCCTGTCACTTTCACTTTTAAATTCTGCCTGGTACCAAAAATAATTTATTCTGTTCCACAATTTTTATAGATTTATATGTTGAAATTGTCTAGGTTTACGGGTAGTACTGCTGAGTACATTACACACGAGTGAAATGCTTGTGACACTGGGCTAGATTTGATTGATCTTTCATAGTCCAGATCAGGAATATGGTACAGAGGCAATGCAGAGTTTTTGTGTCTCTCTCCAGATCACCTCTGTTCAGTCTGGATACTGTAGAAGAGTAGCTCTTTTGAATTTTAAAAATGTTTTTGATCACAGTTGATGAAAAATGTAGAAACAATAACTGAATCAACCTTATATGATTTTGCTTCAGTTTGAGATAGAAGAGGCATTATTTGAATCCTTAAGATGTTCTGTGCTTCTTTGGATGTTCTCCTCAGATAATCCTTCATGATCCTTATTACCTCCCTAGCAATATTTGGTCTGAAGCATTTGCATTAAGTGGAGGTTCTGAACTACAACGAACAAGGGAGTCATGAAACAAAATAAGTAGAGGTAAAATACAGCCATATTCACTTGTGTTCATTGCATATGGTGAACAGTATTCTTCTTTTGCCATGCTCTTCCCTTTACAAGCCAAATTGTGTCTTGGTTGGGCAAAAGAAGGATGGTTAAATAAGTAGAAAAACCTGGGAAAAGTCATCCTGTCATTATGTTCTGTGCAGTGAGCAGAGGGGCAAGATGCCTGCTTTGTGTACTCCAGTGACCTCGGTCATATGGTTCAATTTATTGTTCACAGTGATGCCTTGAGAAGGCTGACCTAGGACAGAGGTTAGACAGAGTTAAGAATAAAGTAGATATTTATTGAAAAGCCTTAAAGGATCCACCTGGGGCAGTACAGGGAGTACAGGCTCCCACCTGGGAGCCTGGCCAGGGCTACACCCAAGATGGACCTAGAAATGATCACAAAGTCTCACATTCTTGTAAGTTTTAGTCCATCTGCATATCAGGGTTAGTTGTCCAGTCAGAGCTTCAGATTGTGAAGTCTCATCCTTGTTTTCTCTTCAGTCCACCATTGTTTATGCTTTGGGCCTGAAACTTGTAACGATTGTCCTTGGTATCAGGGTAGAAAAGGAATTGTCCTGTCCACCTACTCTGTGAAGAGAGCTCACTAACACTTACCATGAAGCTCAAAGCTACACACCTAGGCAGCACAGCATCTGAAAAATATGAAAGCTAAAACTTAAGGCATCAACAGAAATGAAAGTTTTGTTTGAAGAGGTGAACCATTGTCAGGCTCTGCTTCTTCCAAACAGATATGTGTGTGCTTTAGTTTTTGTTAAACCTCGACATGAAACCATGTGGAGCAGGGCTGGCCTATGGGACTCTGGAGAAAGTGGAGGTGGATTAGTTTGCTACTGTTCTGTCTGAAATTAAAGCAAAACCAAAAAATCAATGAAAAGTCTTCAAGAGAAGATGTAAGAGTAAATAGTAATTTAAAATAGTAAATAGTAATTTATATAGTAATTTATATAAATCAGTATGCGAGAGGACCTGCCTCTATTTTCCCAAAAGATGATGAACTGGTGGAATCTATCTGTGCAAAAGCACATACAAATCATAGCAGGAAAAAATGCATTCCCCTTCATTTGGACACAAGTGGGTTTTTGTAGAAGCTGCATTTTTTATTTTTTTTGTTAGAATTTAAACTTTTTGTATGCTGTCATGTTGCAAAATTTATGAATGAGCATTTTTCTCCAATTGAAATAAGTAGTTTTGGGAAATTGACAATATGTCAGCACTTGGGAATGAGGAGGGAGGATAAATATGGGAAAGCAGGAAAAGAACTGAATCATAGAGTGATATGACTGTAGAAGTGTATGAACCTTCTCATAGACATGTCATGTATAGTTAGCTTGATCATTTAGAAAATTGATGTTGCTTCATTCACAACATGTTGATTTGTACCAGTTAGGAATCAGTACCTTTGAGAATGCATTGTTTTATTTGTAGATAGAATAGTGGTCACCTATGACTGCAAAGCCAGTGACCTGAATGCTCTCCTGGATTCAATCCATGTCAATTTAGCCATTTGACTCCAGTGACTAATGTCATGGAAAGGCTGCAACAGCCTGCACAATTTTTTGATCAGCCAAAGGAGGGAGCTACATACACTTCTTTCATCCTTATGCCCCAAGTATTTGGACATGCAATGTGTGATTCTATTGTAGACACACAGCAAATGACAAGTTGAGCCCAAGAAAAACTTAAGCTCAGAGGAAAATGAAAGTTATTGTTATCTTACATATTTCCCATCCTAACAAAGGCATTTCTCAGTCAGAACTGGTGCTTTTTAAATTAGTAGTCTCTTCACAGAATGCTTGTCTGTCAGTATTTTATAGAATATACATGATAAGAAAAAGTTATTCTGCATTTCATTTTTTAAAAAATACGAGTTTAAAAGGTACAGTTTCCTTCATTCCAGAGATTACATGAAAAT